GTGTTTCATCTCAATTAAAAGTTTAAGTTGAAGCTAAAGGTTGCACATTAATGATAATTGATAATATGCTCAACACTTATAAAACAAAAAAAGATTAAATTTGCTATTACTTTATAATTTAAGGATTAAGAGTAATTTTCTCTATATTAAAATTTTGATACATGAAATTAAAACATTGATACATCCATAATATTTGTGAGAATGGAATCATTCATATACTTCTCGAAGATTTCGATGAATCTTGGTTTGCAGTCGTTATATCATAGACCGCGGTGCATGTACATCGCGGCAAAAAAATGGTGCCGTTTCTTTAAGTAAAGAAACGGCCCGCTGTTATAGTTAACGGAGTCCGCTTGTTTGGTGTATTAAACACCAACTGACACTACAGTATATCTAAACCGACACTGCAGTTATATCAAAATGATACTGTAGTTATAGTGAAATGAAACTGCAGTGTATATAAAATGAAACTGAATAACGTTTCACATATTTAAGTGTATATTATACAATGAAGCTGTAATTATATCAAAATGATCATGTAGTTGTGTTTTAATGAAACTATAGTGTATATAAAATAAAATTAAATAACATTTTCACATATTTGAGTCTATAAATATCAAATGAAACTATAGTTATATCGAAATGAAACTGTAGTTGTGTTGAACTGAAACTGCAGTGTGTACAAAATGACACTGAAGAATAGGGTCTTTTTACAAAAGGGTGCGAAACGGCGGAAAACAAACACGGTTTATTTTCATTTAAAAAAAAAAAACGCGCGCGGTGCATGATATAATTTGCTCTTGGTTTGGTATCAAGCCAACCAAAAGAATCTAAAATTGTTAGAATAATTTTTAGTGGAAAAGGAATATTTAAACATCTTAATTAGACTATGGATCTCATATCATTATATCATCAAGAACCATGGTTCACATTGCAAATTAGATCATTGACATATATGTTTATTTTTAGTATATTATATGTTATTTTTTAAAGGTTCATTTTTAACACATTTGATACCCCGGCCACCCGGCTAAATCACAGACCAAATATCGCCGGAAAAACGTAAATTTTTTTTAATTATTTAATTATGGGGGTAAATTGGTCAATTTACGTTTTAAAAAAAGGGAAAAGTTATTTGTGAGATTTCATCATAGGCATGCTTTTCTCTGTCCGTTAAGTGAATTAATGTTTCAGAAGAAGGATTAAAATGGGAACCAATTGCAGTCTAAGATATGAGAATTTGAATTCCATTTTCAAGATATCGGAAAACACAGTAGTAAAATTACAAGAGAGTAAACCTTAAACATGTCTGTCTGTCTGTCTGTCTGTCCAGCCCCCAGTTAGAAAAACAAGCACTGGTGGTGACTTCTACTAAACTAAAATTATCCAACACGAAATTAAAAAGTTATAATAACACCAATACCTATCATCACTTCCTTAATTAGCTTCTTCTTCACATCTATATATTATATATTTCTGCTTATTAATTACCGGAGACGAAGAAGTCTGCAGAGATTGTGAGTTACTCCGATCCGGTGTCTATTCCGGCAGCCTCTGCGTTGCAACTCAGCTTGGCCTCAATGAAAAAGTGGACAAAGGCAGGCTGCTAGGCGGAGGTGAAAGTGAGAACACTACAGATCCTGAAAACTTGTTCTCCTCATCTTTCTCTGTCGCTTCAATTCAACACAACCCTTAAAAGATAAGACCTCCTTGGATGTTTAAGAAGATGTACAGGGTCTGGACCCAATGCAAAGGGGCAACAACTTCTTTTGCAGATTTCAACTTGTCGTCTTCTTTCTTGGGAGATCTGCTTGGATTTGATTCAATCTGCACTACAGCATCATATCTCATTTCCTACAGTACTCACTTGAGTGCTTCTCGAATGCAAATTCACTCTGCCGCATCCTTGCTATGGCCTGGCTGCAACGAAAACACCCTCCTATTTGCGAATGACGAATCACAACCATGTAGTCTTCAACTTTAGCCAACCTTACTCTATCAGGGAGATGGGCATGTGTAACATCATGCGATTGGACTCTGTTCCAGGCTTCAATTCTAGGAATGCTTTAGCTCTTTCCCATAGCTGCAAAATAATGTGAGTTCAGATTACTTCAGACCTTCTGATTTCGTAGCCCCCATATATTTCCACCAACTGGTTAGCAATAGACAGTAGGAACTATTATCAAGATTTACCATATATATATATTCTATCCACCACCTTGCTCTTTATGAACCCAAGAATTTCATTCTTCATTCTTCTTTCTGCCTACAAGGGAGGGAAGACCCAAATAGTTTTCGTTTGTAGACCATTCAAAAATATAATTAAAATGATTCACAATGTAAAATTTACGGCAAATTATTGTATGGATCATGGTACATACAATATTGTATGGATCAATACAAAAAATATATTTTAATATATTAAATATACATTATTTTTGTACTGAATGTACATTATATAATATAATATACACTCAATACACAAATAATGTACATCCCCTGAAAATAATATACATCATTTTTGTACTGAATGTACATTATTTTATAATATACAAAATATAGTCAATACAACTTGACGGTCCACACAATCATGATTGAAATTTTGCGGCCCTTAGGGTTGGGGTTCAGCCTTCTTAGAAGAATGATTGAAATTTTGCTATAATTTGTCATGAACTTTCATGATGATTTGAAATTCTAATTTTATGGGCTTTGTAAATGTAAGGCCCAATTGGATACAAAGTCATTGGGCCAGAAACTGTGCCACTTGCAAAACTAGGGTTTTAGCTAGGTTTTGTGTTACTATATTATTCTGACATATAAGATTGCGTGCCTTTCCTTCATCGTCTCCCGTTGCTCACTGCGCATCGTCGTCTTCTTCACAGGTTCTCTCTCTACACACTCTCTTTCTACAATTGTCGCATTTAATGATTGATATTTTATTTTATTTATTGTTTTTTTAGTTCCTGATAAAATCGAACTGAATCCCTGAAAATATTGTTAATAAAGGAATGCTTGAGGGATATGAACATATGAGATCATTTTTGTGAAAATTTTGTTCTGAAATGTGATGTATTATTGCAAAGCTAGTGTCCTTTTTGCATAAAGTTTACATGGAGTTGAAATCATGGTTAATTTATTATTGAGTTTTCATGGAATTGATGGAAATGGTTTTACTTGTTTGAATGAGCTCTATAAGTCTGTCAATGGACTTTGTATCCCGCAACTGTTAGATGATGGAGTCATTTTGGCAGCTGAGCTTATCTTGCTCTTTTTTTGAATTGTTTAGTTTGAGAACTAATCTAGCTGACTGCTCTGTTTAAAATGAGTTCAACCATTTTCTCCAAACTAATTATCTGTTTATCAGGATGAAGCATAGAAATGGTAAATAATTGACTTTGTTGCTTCAATTATGCCTTTGTTTTCAGTTTAATGTTTGTCAAGGTCAATTTTTTATAGTATCAAGAAATATCATCTTTTTAGTCCTTTTTAATCATTCTGACAAATTGACATGATTTTATTGATTCATTTGCTTCTTCACTATGTTGTCTTATTTTGTCTCCGATGCATGTTTTCATTCCTTTTCTCTTATCAGGTTTAGAGCAAAAGGCTTAGTCAACAGGAGAAGATGGCGAGGTATTTATTGTGATCACTATTCATAGAACTATGAATTTTTATCTTCTTTTTGTGTGTGTGTCTGTGTCTTGAATGGCTACTCTAGCCAATTAGGAAGTTATTATAATTTTATTTGTGGGTATGTGGATGGATATTTTGGCTGTTTAATTTTTCTGATCACTATACTCCTTAGGGAAGTGTATGTCTGTTTGTATATACATATTGTATGTATGCTGTTAGATGATATTAAATGAGTGTGTGTATTTCCAGAAGCTATTCTTGCAAACATGTTAAATTTAATTTATGATAATTAGATGCATTTCTCAGCATGGGGCTGAATGCCGGACTATTCCATTTTCTGAGTTTGTCTCATGTACTATACTACTATTGTTCATGAAGGATAACAGTACTTTGGTCTGCCTCAGTGCCTATCAGAACACACACACAGACACACCTTTTCTTATATGTACACATTAACTGTTGATCTTTATTATTAATCTCGTCTGTTTTTGCTCTTGCTTCCTTTCAGTGAAGATGTTACAGAGACACCTGCTGCTCCTGCCGCTCCTGCCCTGGGTGAGCCCATGGATGTAATGACTGCATTGCAGCTTGTGCTGAGGAAATCCCTGGCTCATGGTGGGCTGGCAAAAGGCCTTCATGAAGGTGCTAAGGTGATTGAGAAACATGCAGCCCAACTATGTGTGCTGGCTGAGGACTGTGATCAGCCTGACTATGTTAAATTGGTCAAAGCACTTTGTAATGACCACAATGTCAACCTGATTACAGTTCCTAGCGCAAAGACCCTTGGTGAATGGGCCGGTGTAAGTACATGCCTTTTGTCTCCCACACTTTTTACATTTTATGCAAGTGCAAAACAAAGGGATTAAAAATGCATTCTAGATTGAATGCTCAACTGATGTTAAAATTTTATTAATAGTTCACCATCTTAATACGTTTACTATCACAGCTGTGCAAGATTGATTCCGAGGGCAAAGCTAGGAAGGTTGTTGGATGCTCTTGCGTCGTTGTAAAGGTAACAAACATAAGATCCACAAATCTCATCTGATTCCTGTATATCATATCTGTATCTCAGTGTGAACTTTTGGCTTTGGAATGCAGGATTTTGGAGAGGAGACTGAAGGCCTCCACGTTGTTCAAGACTATGTGAAATCTCACTAAGTGCCTAGCAATATGATTGTCTTCTTGCAGTTTTATCTTTAGTGATTTGGGTTTAGCTTGTTTTGGAAAACACTAAGTTTTTGATAGTTCAAAGAACCAATCTGGTGGATATTTACGAGTTTTAATATTAAAAATTGTTTCCTATATTCATGTTCATAATTGCTCCATTAAATAGAGAATATTTATTTTTGCCATTTAACAAATCAAAAACAGTACACAACTAAGATTTGGTAATCAAAGTGGTATTGTAATTTGAATTACAATAATGTTTTCTGGTAGCACGACATCCATGAACCAAAATTTATACTACACTACTAGAAGAGAGCTCTCCCAGGTGAAGGGGGTTAACTTGTCCTACATACAAAAATTTTAGGTAACATTCCATTCGTAGTTTCAGAATGTTTTATATGTTTTGAATGGGAGGAAAGTATGGTGCTAAGAGTGTAAAGTGTTGTGAAGAAGAAGCTCCAATATGGCAAACTATCATATCATTCATGCAGAGGCTTTGCTCTCAGACACTGTAAGGTAAACTCCCTCTACTGCCAGCCAAATGTTATCAGTTCGCTTCTCTTTTATGCCACAGACCTGCAGAATGCGCAAAATAGACTATGATGAGAAACAAACAACCTTATATGAAAGAGGGTTTGCAGCCATTCTATTGTAAATGTAATAGACTAGACAAGCACATGCTGACCTCTTGCTGGCCCCCGGCTATACGGGTGTACTTCTTGTTGTGACTGTGCAAATACCCTCCGGTATCTGCATGAAGAAGCCTGACCCTTTGATCTTGCCTCCATGTTTTACCATTTCCCTCAATTTCAAGTCTAAAAGAATGAAAAGATTAGGATAGCAACCAAAATATTAAGAAGCATTAGTAGAAAGGTAGTCCTAACCTCCAGACATCCCCGGTATCAGACTCGTTGTCATCCCCAAAGCAGCTTACCTACAGAGATATCGACAAAAATTGGGGGCAATAAAGGTATTAGCATAAATTAGAACCAAGGCCTGGTAAGGAAGATGATCACTACAGCTCTTGCTCTTAAGAACACCAGAAAATATTGCAACTTGAAAACCTCACTTTTCTCTATATTTGACTTGAATGGAGATCAAGAGGAAGAATTATGAGTGTCAAGAATGATGTGAGGTTTGAGTTTGTAGTTTGCACACCCCTACAGCCTAAACTTGATGAAGAACACAGGAAGATGAAGCCCAAGCTAAAATGAAAACTTTATAGTTCATTCTAGTATTAAATTTCTTTGCATATTCATTTCACATTGTAAAAGGCAAAGGTTAATAATATTAAGAATTGAAAAATAAAAATAAAGAAAGATAGGAAGAGTACAAATTTTCCAATAATTGTTTGGCATGGATTGAATCCATGACCTAAAAGTTGACAGATTAGCACTAGGACATTCTATCAACCCCAACCTTCTTTAATTCAAATATGGGGTAGTAGTCTTCAACAAACAATGACTAGAATAATCAAAAAATATTTTCACTATCCACACTACAAATTATTCATCCCATAATAATCATATGTTATTTAATGAAATAATGTTAAATAGAATTCAAACTGGTATAATGTAGAGTGGAACTATATTTATTCAAGAATCAACAAATTGAAATGCAGCAAGGGAAAAATCCCATTTAGACAGGATGGACCCAAATGACAATGAGCCACTAACCTCCAAATTGCCTGTTATTGGAGATGCATGCAAGTGGCTGTGCAGCCATTTCCTAGTCTTCATATGCTGCAGTCGAATAATACTTCCAGTTTTAATGGCATCACCTTGCTTTGCAGACGAGTCTGGAGCAGGCTTAACAATCTGACAAAGGAAAGCCCAGCACAAGCAACAATTATTAAAATGTTGTTTGCATACCACACACATATAATTTGCACCAACAATTAAATACCAACACGAAGAGGAACGTAAATGGCGTACCCAATAGCTGTTGGCATCATCTACAGTAGGATATCCGGTGACCGACTGCTGCCCACTGCCAGAACCGTAGGGCACATCATGCGAATGCAACCGGACCTTTGTCTTCTCATGCATCAACTTGATTGTTGATCCATAAGTAATCTGTAAAACAATTGCATATCAGTCCAAATCAGAATGGAAAACACCAAAGATTTCCCAAAAACTACGGCATTCATAAAGTAGTAATCATTTCTCCAATTGTCAGGTTTATTGCATTTCCAAAACGTTTGGATTTTTTAATTCAAATCAGGAAATAGACCACCTTTTTAATATTTCTTATGAAAATCACCCAATCCTAAATTCAAGCAAATTTTACAAAAAAAAAAAAAAAAAAAAAAAAAAAAAATAACAAAAACAGAGGAATAACGAAATGAAGAAATGGAGTTTCCATCATATTACGATTGAGAAGAAATCAACTCACAAAATGGGGGGGGGGGGGGGGGGGGGGGGGGGGGGAAAGTGACACTGCATTAGTTACAATTTTGGTACGAAAATTCAGTGAAATTACTTCAAAAATTTGACAAATTTATGATCAAAACTGATAAATATAAGGAGTATTTATTACCTGGACGCCTTCAGAAGCGGCGGAGGCAGAGCCGATCGAGTAATCGGAATCGAGGGTGAGGATGAGAAAGATGGCGAGGGCGAAACAAGAGAGCGCCATAACAAATAGCAGTACTATGAACCAGGTCCTTTGCCAAACTGGGAGGTCCAAATCGGAAGTTGCGGGTTCGCGGTACACTAACCGGGTCGGACTGGAAAGTGTTTGATTCCACAACGTCGTCGACGGTGGTGCTGACTTCCTACGGGTGAGATTTTGACGTTGGCGTTGTTGTTGGCTTGAAGAAGCCACGGTTGAAGCTCTTGGAGGGCGCCTGACGGAGCTCCGATGAAGATCCGATCAAAACACTTCTGATTCCGATTTTCCGGCGACGCTTTTATTTATTTTCTTTTTCCGTATTTAATGTTTCATTTTTCAGTTCTTCTCTGATCGTCAGACTGAGAGACTACTCCGTATATTAGTGTCAGAGAGGCCACGTCGAATTAAAACGTAAGACCAATCAGTTTACTCCACGTGTTCCTCTGATGACGTGAATGCTTCTCGTTGGCTGACATCTTACGCCGTGACTTTCACTTCACGAGTCAACTCGGTGTCTGCCTCGCCGTGTACTATGACGTTAACCATAATCAAAAACGCTTTTCACTCCAACAATTATTAATTTTTGTAAAAGTTACATTTTTAGCCTTCCAGTTATATACCCGAAATAATATAGATTTAGTCCTGACTATTTTTAACTCTTAAAGAAGCGTTCGGTTCAAGTCATCTTAGATTACCTGGGTAATCTGAGTCAGATAATGTTATATTATATTGTTTGATTCAAGTTATGAGATTACTTGGTAATATTATATTACCTGAAAGTTGATGTGGCGGTAATGTGATTACACCCATTCTCTTAAGTAATCTTAGATTATTTTGAATTATTTCAAATCTACCCTTATTAACTAATCTTTATATCCTTATATAATAACTAGTTCTTTTACGCGCTTTGCGCGAATGGAATAATGCTCAATAATTATTTTTAAATAAGTATTTCAAAGTATATCAATTCAATATTATATCAGAGATATTCATGCATAGGTAAATAAACATTGAATTTGTTTATTTAAATCGGTAAATTAAAGTATATAGATGCAAGATAATATATGAGAGATTGATTATATTGTCACAAAAATAAATGTTTGCAACTTTGTAATAACGCTAGTCTAAATACTTAGTATAAAAACGATAGTCTAACTAAATACGACTTTTGATTTAAATTTATCTAATTCTTCTTAATTCTCTTTTGGGTAGCATTGTCATTGTCTTCATCTTCAGTACATGTCCTTTTTTTTTTTTTTTTTTTTATTATTATTGGTAATGTGTTATGTGCAATTGGGTTACTGGTGGTAGCATAGAAGGATTCATTGTGCAATGAGATTATGGTGTAGGAAGTTTTAGATTTGCTTTGCTGTGTATATGATTGTGATCTTAGTTGTACTATGAACTCTTTTTCTTACAAGCACCTATTGGTATTTGGTAGTGGTAGTTTTTCCCTACATGTTTAATGTGTTGTGAGATGTGTGTCGTAGGTTACCATGTGAAAGTATTGAACAAAATATTAATATTTATTATATTTGTATAAAATATTTGGTAAATAAATATATATAACATATGAAATTATATCTCTTTTTAAATTTTTTATAATGAATATTTTTTTTAAAAATAAAGACATTATAGACATCTAATTCTAAATTAATTAAATGCATATGTATTATTTTTTTGTTGTAGCTACTAATTTATTTAATTTAATAAGATTAATAAAGTGACGTACATACTTTTTATCAACAATAATGAAATCATTGATTTTTTTAAATTTACATTCGTTGTTGAGACAAATTATTTTGAGAGTTTGTCAATGACAATTGTTACAATTCTTGTCAACAGAGGATGATAATAAACAATTCAAAATATATAGTTACAATAGATATTGTTATAATGATATAGTAAAAATTGACTTACAAATTTTTTTAGAAATTTTCATGCATTGATAAAATTATGATGTGTAAACTTGGAGCAAGTGGGATGCCAACATTGTCAATTCTTTGGAAAATGGTCTTACCGTTTTAGAGTCCATGTGTAATTGTATTTATGATCAACAACTTTGTAGTTAGGTCGCGCAGATCTGATAATGATGTAAGAACAATTTTGTCCGATAAAAAAAATAATAGTATAATATTTGTAAAGTAATGTACAATTGTATCATTATAAAAATATATACAAAAAATATTAATACCATAACGACCTAAATCATACCAAAATGCAAAAATATAATTGAAATATTAAGTTTTGTTCTAATATAAATAATCAAAAGAAAATTAATTAAACGAAAAAAAAAGCTTAACCTAATTTTTTTTTTAAATGTATAAAAATCAAATGATTTTTAAATTTTTTGATTTATAATCTTTGATGCTTAACTTCGAATGTTATGTATTTAGTCGGACTAATTATTTGACCAAAGTTTATGTTAAATTATATATATATATATATATATATATATATATATATATATATATATATATATATATATATATATATATATATATATTAATACATTTTAACATATTCGTAGTATATGTTTAATAATGATGCAACTCAAATTGGGATGTGGTTTGAACCTAAAACCTTTTTTATAGAAATTAATAAGTTAAAAATAATAAATAGTTAACGGATATTCCGTTACTAAAGTTTATACTAACGGAATTTAAGTTATTTAATGGAAGAAAATAATATAATAGAGGGTATATTAGGAAAATCATTAAAAAAATACTAAAATTAAAATAATATGAACCATTCATTTTAAGAAACAATACCACCACCGACATTTTTTTTTTGTTCTAGTTAAGGGCCTAACATTATTGGCTCTTATTAGAATTGTAGATAATAATAATAATAATAATAATAATAATAATAATAATAATAATAATAATAATAATAATAATAACAATAATAATTAATATATGTTTATATAATCAAATATACATGTGTGTATATTTATATATTTAAAAAAAAAATATTTAAGCATTGATATACATTCATATATATATAAATAAACAAACACACACAAACACAACCTAAAATATAACCCTTAACGAAACAAGGTAATATTATATTCTGCAATCCAAACCAAACACATAGGGGGCATTTGGTTTGGGTTATCTAGGATAACAAAAGTTATATTTAGTTGGTTATACAATATTCCTGTGTTTAGTTGAAGTTATCCAACATTCTCATGGAATATTATTTAACCTCCACATCATCTTTTTTCTTAATTTTGAGGGAATATGATGCCTTTACTTTCCTTAGGTAATATAACATTGGCTTGTTATTTTACAAAATTTGCCCTTCACTTTTCAAGACTTGGGTTTTAGTTTCTTTGTATAAATTTTGACCCATCTGCTATTTTCTTTGGACAGGTCAGACTTTCAAAGACAATGTTGTTCCTAACACTGAACATATTTGATTTGTTTCCTTAGGAATTTCTGTAGAATGCATACTTTGAAAATTCCATGAATAGTGTTGATCTTTGGAATATTAAATATGTAACTTTGAATGAAGAATTTGTTGTCTTGTAAATTGTAATGTTTCTGTAGAATTGATAAACTACTTAAACTATTGATTTTCTTAATATTGTTTTTAGTTTTCATTCTTAATTTGTAGTAGTTTGGCACATTTTTGTGTTTGCAAGGTAATTTGTAATATGAGGGTATTAAGGTAAAATAACTATTATAACATAAATAACAATTTATCAACCAAACAGGTTTATATACATAACCCAGTTTTTACCAAACACACAGGAATCTAACATTTCCAGTAATTTAACATTTCCAGCAATCTAACATTCCCTAAGGTAATCTAACATTCCCTAAGATATTCTTACATTCATAAAATCTCACATTACCTTCCTCCAGATAATCCTATTACCTGGGGTAACCTAAGATTCCGTGAACCAAACACCTCCTTAAGTTATACGCAAAGTGGAGAGTTTAGCCCTTCAAGGACCAAATTTGCCACTTTATTAAATAACATATTGGTGGCATAATAGTCATCGAGGGACTAAAATCTCCACTTCTCGCATAACTTAATGGTTAAAGAAGGTCACACATATAACTCATGGACTAAGCCTGTACCACGAGTATAGCTGAAGGATCAAAAATTTAATTTTCCCTTAATTTTTACGAAAAATAATTAAATACACTTTCAAACTTTTAAAAGTTGTAATTTAGTACACCAACATGTCAATTTAGTGAATTGAAAATTTGAAATTCAAAAACAGGATACTAATCTGTAATAGCAGGTCACTAGGGATCTGACGATATTCCGACAACCTACAAGGAAAAATTAGCAACCGGCGACCACATTCTTTAAAGAAGAAGACGAGATGGTCTCCTTATCTGACGGAAAATGTGACCACCGGTCGCCTTCCTCACTGGAAGAAGGTAACCAACTAGTCACCAACTAGTCGTTTTTTCCGGCATAGATGGCGATCGTTAGTTGGTCGTCGAAACCTTAACGACTTGCTATTACATGTCACTATTCAGGTTTTTTTTTTCTTTTTTACTTCAATGCACTAAATTGACATGTTGATGTGCTTAATTGCAACTTTTAAAAATTCGGGAGCCTAAGTGACTTTTCTCAGAAAGTTTGGAAATGTATTTTAACATTTCCCCCAATTTTTATTAGTCTTCTCAAATTAAAGAATTTATTTATTTGTATAAATTATTGGTGAATTGATTACCCCTTGAGAGAAAAAAAAAAAAAAAGATGACATGTCATTAATTGGCTAACACATAAGCGTTATACTAGGTATATTTTCAAATGTTACTCCCTCATTTTTACTCTCTTATGTGTTAAACAAAGATATGTTATTATCCTCTTATTGGTCTCCAAAAAAATGTTCATATCAAAAATTTCGAAGTAAATGTAGAAAATGAGAGTCCACATAGTATTTTTCAATACAAAATGGTAATTATAGTCTTTACCAAGATCCTTTTTTATAATTAGAAAATATATTATGTATAGATTTTTCTATAATACATTTGCTATAGTATTTTTTTTTTCCACAAATGGAAATAATAGGTGCATTTCAATAATTCTAGTTTTTTTTTTCTTCTTTTGTTAAGTAAATCAATAATAAATTCTACAATGTTGAATAGCAAAAATATCAATTACTATAAATTATTTTTATTTAGTAATAAGGGTCAAATAGGTCATCCAACTACACACCAAACTGTAATTAGCCATTCAATTCAAAAAAATTACAATTAGATTCATAAACAATGTAAATTCATGCAATTCAACCTAAAATATCTGTTTACTTGATTGTTACCGAATTTTAAAATATTTATTTTAATAATTTTATATAAAATAATTATTTAAAAATTATTTTTTAGAAAAACCA